TGAATTTGTAAAATAACTTCTCACTTTACAACACCTTCATTATTCGCTTTCGCTATAAAGAGGAAGAGACACTTGTATTTTCAAGCTCAATCATAGGTTTACAAGGCAGTCACCCATCGGCATTCCAAACAATTCCGATGTACTTACAGTTGCACACCAGTGTTGCCATCCACAGTCCATCAATGAGATTAGCAGCCTCCAGCTTCTCAAATTCACTCTTCCTGGTTCTTACGACATCACGTATGGTCACTGAAAAGCACAAAAACAAAGCACATTAGCGAAGTTCTTGATTCCTTCTTTCTTCCTTCTCGTCTGCCTTCCCCCCCCCCACCCACTTCACTCTATCAGCAATAATTTTGCGGCGAAACGATTTCCAATGGATGCAATTGAATTATGTATACCAGAAACATTAATATCTGTCATCAAATTTACAATGTGATTCTACATTGAGAATTTTTTAATGTTTTCACACGATGATCGCCACTTGGCTTTAATTACTTCTCAATATACGCCAATATAGTGACTCCTCGTCTGGAACCGGTCGCATAGCCACGGCCAAACATTTTTAGGGCACAATTTATTGGTCTACACTGCATCTAGCTCTAGTAGTATAGGCTATAGCCCGCGCCGCGGCCTATAGCCTATACTAGTACTAGAGCTACACTCGTCCGAGACGACGCAGACCCCAGTAATGGTGTGTAATGCAGTTAATGACCTCAGTAATGCAGTTAAACCCACACCCTCAGATTAGCAAAGCGGAGTTATAACGTCTGCATTTGCGGACAACAGCACAGCTAGGGACTTGAGGCGAAAAAAAAGTGTTATATATATAAATAGAAAACTTCTATTTATATACGGTACGGTATATAACACTTTTTTTTTCGCCTCAAGTCCCTGTGGACAACACTGCATCCTGATTAACTCCAAGAAACGGTATTGCTAGGGTTAGAATGTATAGACTATCCGTCTGTATAGACTATCCGTCGCACAGCCTGGTCGGGCTACATCCTGATCGTACTGCTACTCAGCTACTGTGCACAAAATCACAAAAAGAAACTCTTGTCAGTCACTGTCTTGATAACTTTTAGTAAGTTTCACATATTCATAGATTTCAATCTTATAGTCTTCAATATAGTCTCATGGACTTTAAAGACTATTATGTTACTACGACGTTACGAGGAGACGCATTTAGGTACAAGGATGGAGAGCATTTTCGTCATTTTACAATGTAAACAAACACGTTCACGCATGTTCACACACAAGCATTTTATGCATGCTCACTTCGAACTGCACACTCGAAACGCCAAACTCGTTCCAAAATTGACCGCTCTTTCGCTGGCGGCGCCACCGTCCGATAACACCAAAGATCATATACAATAATTATGTATATGTACGATTGTATATGATCTTTGATAACACTGGGAAATTTCATGTTAAAATATGACTATTTTTCACACTAGATGGCGCCAAAGAGTCATATTTTAACATGAATTTTTTGAGTGCCATTGGACGGTGGCGCCGCCAGCGAAAGAGCGGTTAATTTTTGAATAAGTTTGGAGTTTCGAGCGCGCAGTTTCATTGGTTTCAAGTGAGCATGCATAAAATGCCTACTGCATTGCCGCCCACTGCCACTGTTAATTATCTGTCTGTTTTATCAACTTTGTCTGTTTCTGTCTTTGAATTAGTCCCCTTGACGTTGAAGACTAATATTTATGAGGTTATCAGGTAACTATTTCTTTTAACTTTGTTTAGAACAGAAGTGCCAGTCTGCCAAACAAGGTCGACTCAAGGGAACAGTACTCAGTAGTTAAAATTTTACAGGGTTTGTAGCCCGACCAGGCTGTGTGACTAACGTCAATATACACACGAAAGCTTTGTGACACGAGTATGATCTATAGAAACCGCTGAAAGCGCTATTGTTTGCAGGTGTTGCAGTAAGGATAGCCACGACTAATATTTTACTACTTCTACTTCTACGCTATATTGGCCACCATCAACATACTGATGATTATGCCAGGTTTTACTAGGTGTAACTGAACCAAAGACATTAAAAAACTACCATGAAAGCAGCTCGTTTGTATTTTAATACATAATTTTATGACAAAACTATATTTTACAATGTTTTTTTTTATATATAATACAAAATTACAATCGTAACTATTACGTAATAACATTACATTTACGAGTACACCACGAGTACTTTACATGCGATGGTATAAGCACTACTAACGTTTCCTTCAAACAACTACGCTAGGTGTAGAACCACCATGCACACAACTCCAGACAATATGTCAATAAACTAACACAGCAGAACTGATAATAGCCAAAACAACGATAAATTCACACGTAATGGACGCGATTAAATTACCTGACTGAAAATAACATCAGGTAATTTATATATATACACGAACTGCTTCGGTGCTTCGCGCCTCTGCAGCCTGTACATGGCAACATGCTGTAACGTGTGTGTACGCGGGCGAGCAAGTGCATCGCAGCAGTAGCAGCAGCAGCAGCAGGACAAGCGGCAAATGTATAAATATATATATATTATATATATGTGCAGGCAGATGGAGCTACAGGCACCTATTAAGCCATAGGAAAAACCTCAGGATATATGATTTTGGCTACGATTAAGGACAATCTGAAAAGTAGATTTCCGTCTGTTTGCACCCTCGTCACCGAACCCTGACCAGTTTCCCACTCTCGGTTCATATACCAACTGATCTATCACTTAATCGACAGTAATGCAACACTCACTACACAATGTCGCTGCGAATTAGGTGTCTTTCTCTCTCGCTTCCAAGTTCAAGCCATAATAAAAATATTTTTTGTTTGCCCTCACCCGACCGACCCGCCAAAAAGGGACCGACTCAAAAAGTTTTATTGATCTTTCCCATTCTTTTTTTTTTACAAATTGTATCACTGTACACTATATAAATCTGTAGGTAATACATTATATGTACCAAGCAAAACAAACATTCAACATAAAAAGTATCTCTACACAAGCACACCCGAGCATGTAGACACCATGCTGAATTTGTAAAAAGACCCTCAAAAAAAGCCTACCTACCTACCCAAACTTTTCAGCCTGGGTCGGGTGAGGGCAAACAAATATTTTTTAATTGTGGCCTTAGTAGGTTTCACTGCAGGAGTCGCTGTCGTCGTCATCACTCTGTCTCTCCCGCTTTTTCCCGTTCGGCTTTCCCGCTTCCACATCTTCCAACTCCTGTGTGGAGATTAGCACGAGAATGTAATGATGCCCCGGGGTTGTTATACGGCCCGCAGTGTTAGATGTTAGACCACTGCTCAGTTGCTCACCTCTCTACATTGACCGACAGTACCATCCTGTGTGGAGCAGGGATGAGCATTTAACGCAGATTTGCGGGTTTCCGAATTTTTTTTTAGCTGCGAGGAACATTTTTGACATCAGCGAAAATTCGTAGAGGCAGGGTAGAGTACGTAATTATTTTTTTATTACTTTAAGGCGAGAAGTATGCCTGCGTCGTACGTATTTGGCGGTCGGCCATTATGAAATCAGGTTGATGTTGTATCACGGTGCGTCAGGGAGATGCTTGTTTACCTGGGTAAAACTATAGACTGTGACAGCCTAGCGCGCGTGCCTGCAGTGTCCACAATTTATTGTCACAATTTCTATTGTTTATATGTTCAATGTCAATGTTTTAATGATTAAACGTTTAATTATGGTTTCTGGTCCGAGTTTTTCTCCGGGACATTATCGTCCCTGGTGGAGACAAGGTCGAGATATGTGCGGCAGGGCCGTAGGCTGAGCAAATTCCTGGAGGGGGGGGGCAGTGGCGGATCGAGGATTTTAAGGAGGGGGTGAGAAACATGTAGGGGGGTCTGGGAGTGCTCCCCCACAAACTTTTGAAAATGTAGATCGCAGGAGATGGTATTTGAGGCACTTTTGAGTACATGTACAGCCTTTATTCTGACTACGACAATTCTCTTTTAGTAGAAAAAAAAATTTTTTGCTTCAAAATCAAGGGGGGGGGCAGCTGCCCCCTTGCCCCCCGCAAGTTACGGCCCTGGATATGTGCCATCATTGCTCCACTAAGGGGGGGCAGCTGCAGGTTACGGCCCTGGATATGTGCCATCATTGCTCCACTAAGCGCACATTCCACACTCACCACTTCACTGTCATCGTCGCTAGCTAACTCGGTCACATCCATGTCCTCTGTCTCAGCTTCTGTTGTCATGGAAACCTGAGATAAGATCTCCTCCCCCTGAAACACAGACAACGTGTTCATTACTATTACTATTACTATACTATACTATTACTATTACTATTACTATAGTATATATATATGCTATATATTACCACTTCACACGGGCTCTATATTCCATTTATATCAGCTCAATATGACCATTTAATAACACTACGCATGCTCGAGGTATATACTATAGTATCTCTGCTAGTATGAGGTGCAGACTAAAGTGCATCAATATCATCAGCTAAGTGGGTTTTTCCAGGTTGCCTTGAACATGTTGGAATACGCTAGCTTGGAGCATAGCGTAGAACATTAAACTACGAGCTCGATATTGCTGGCTATGCGATATCTGACTGGCTGTAGCGTGTCTGTGCACACACCTGCAGGTCTCTGTTCTTGAGGTTGCCCAGCCAGAATGCATCCGTACACTTGTTGTAGAAGAGCAGTGCTTTCACCCTGTAGATGAGCGTCTCGAGGCATTTCTTCAGCGGCGGAACGTGATTGGTCAACGATACGTCCTTCATGACCTTCAACACGATGTAATTGGTCAGGCACATGTTCCTTGCAATGTTCACTGGCACGTAACTGAACGATAGCACTCCAGCGTGACCCCCCCCACACGATCGATCGTACTTCACACGACCACTACCAAGTATTCACTACCTCTGTTTTGCTTCATACTGCCACTACCCTTCCTCGGTCTTACCACAAACCTGCTATACACCCGCCAGCCCTACGTAACCAACCCACCACCACTACTACCTAGCATACTCCTCGCCCACGCATCCTCTATTCACGCTGGTCTTTTCCATCCTCATCCTTACTCAATATGTCTCCCCTACCCTGCCTTTATTCACCATGTCTACCCGACCTCTTGCCCCTACACCAGCGCATCCCTGCCAGGACTGTAGGCTGAGCAAATGCCTGGAGGGGGGGGGGGCAGTGACGGATCCAGGATTTAAAAGAGGGGGTGAGAAATAGGTGGGGTGCCCAGAAAATGTTGAAAATATTTGAAGCACTTTTGAGTACATGTACAGCCTTCATTCTGACTACGACAATTCCCTTTTAGTAGAACAATTTATTTTTTTAATTTTGCTCCAAAATCTAGGCCCCCCCCCGCAGGCTACGGCCCTGCCGGCGCATCCCTGCATACCGTACCTTGGAATGGCTACACATGTGTTGCATGAAGCGTGTGCTCAGCTGTAACTTCTTCAGGATGGTCTGTACGTCGGCAGTGTGCGAGCGGAACGTCCTGTGAAGCAGGGGCATAGCCTGCCTCAGGAACACCTCGACAAACTGCCTACCGTACTGAAACACACGTACAGCGTAACCCAACATTACTGTTACAGGTAAAAAGCACACACACACACGCACGCACGCACGCACGCACTCACGCACGCATGCACACACACACACACACAAAGTAACAAAGTGTCGTCTGATAGAGGGTAGGAGACCAAAGTATGGAGGAAGCTTACCTTTAGGGCAGTCGTGACAGAGACAGGAAAACATAACGGTTGGAGGTAGCTGATATTTGGAGCAGAAGCTAGATTGAGCGTGATCGAGGTACGACACACCTCACTGGGGTTTCTCACACATAAGAGGCACAGTGGCGCACTGCCGTCCTCAAATTAAACATCGCCGTTGTGAAAACGTTCCTGTATTTACCCGCCGTTGTCAAAATAGTGTCAACCCAAAAATAAATAGATCACCACGTGCTTCTGGCATATTTAGATTGCCATGTGTGTTTATTAAGTCATGTGACACTTGGTGACGCGTGCTTTTGAATCCATCGTGCGCGTTTTTTTTTTTACCAAACTGGCCATTACCTCCTTTGTCTAATTTTCGCTCAGAAGAAACCCTGCTTACCTTTAGAGCAGTAGCCAGGTTCGGTCTGCTGTCAAAGGCTTTGATGAAGCTGATAAGGACATGTAGGATGCGGACGGACATGCTCCACTGTATCAGCTGCTCCTCCACGCTCTGCCACACGTACACACATGCAGTCAACATTACTACTGTCCCAACATAATAACTCTAACACTAATGCAACTACTGTTATGGAGATTCGTTAATAAAAGGTATATAATCGAACTGCTTATCTGGATTGCAGATTTTTATTTTTAAACAGCAGCATAAATGTGAAACCGAAACTTGTATTCACTTCCGGCGTGCACGGCAAAACATCCGCCCAATACGTGCCCGTCCTCTATCGTAAAGATAATACAGTAAATTTAAGGTACACTGAAGAACAAGGAATAATAATCAATTTCTCTCCAACAACTACCAATGCCACCGATAGTTTACAGCCGGTCACCCGGAAATTACGTTTCACGTTCCAGACATCGCGTCTCACATCGACTCACAATTAGCTCTGTCGCCATGACGTTGCAATGGTAATTAACTCATTGACGATGGTTGTATATGATTGTGAACTATTATCACTACTAATCGATATTCTCACATAATTCCTGTTCGGTGGCCGGTGACAGTGAATGAGCACTCGACGAGGAAGTGACATGTACAGTTAAACCTCGATGAGCCGAACGAGACGAGCAGGGAGTATTTTGTATTTAGTTTGAGTGTAACAGCCATCACACTCGCGTCTGTCAGAGCGACTGACTAACCTCTTCGTTGGCGGTCGCCGCGCGGCGTGCGTTGCGCACGACCTCGGCCATCATGATGCGGTAGTAGACGGGGAAAGACGCGCGGCTGAGCGTCGGCCAGCGACCAGAGCATCCGTCGCTCTCCTCCTCCAGCAGCTCACTAACGCCCTCTGTAGTGATGCCCTCGATCGCAGACAACCGGTCGCCCGTGTGCTCGAGGTAGACGCTGGAGAAAGAGAGAAAATGAAAGAGATAGATAGAGACAGATAGAGAAAGAAAGATAGGGAGAGAAAAAGAAGGAGGGAGAGGGAGCGAGAGAGAGAGCAAGAAAGATAGACAGAGAGGGAGAGAGAGAGAGATAGAAAGACAGAGAGAGAGAGAGAGAGAGAGAAAGAAAGAGAGAGAGAGAGAGAAAGGAACAAAGAGCGAGGAGAGAGAGATAGAGATAGACAGAGACACACAGAGAGACAGGCAGAGCACCTGTGCAGTAACACGTCAACAAGTGAACACGTTGCAGCTTACAGCAGCAGCAGGCGGATGTTGTCATTGCAGCGCGCGCCGTGTTCCCGCTGACCGTTGCCGCCGACCCACTCCCGGCAGAGGAAGCCGCGCGCCAGCGTCACGAGCCTCTCGCTCAGCATCCCGCTGCGCTCGCTCAGCATCCCGCCACGCTCGTTGTCGCGCGTGAAGCCTGTGAGCAGCTTCGTCAAGGTCACCGCCGCCTGCAGGTCAAGCGCCGAGTCAGCCAACGCCTCGAAGTAGCTGAATGAGCGTCTGAGAACAAGAATGGGACCTTGCGTATTGCGTGGCAATGCGTATTGTTCGTTCTAAGGCCATGCATATAGTTTCATTACAAGGTCATGCATATAGTTTCGTTAGCGGTCGCTCGCTCCCGCGCGTGGCTACATCTAGATATAGTTAATAGAATATTCTAGACCGCGTTGCGCGCTGAAACTGCTAGCGCTGAAGCGCGTTGCTACAACGCCTCATAGTAGCTGAACGAGCGTCTACTACGGACGAGAACGTGACAATGACGGATCGCCGCCCACTCGTACTACTGAACAGGGAAAAAATAATATAATTTATTTTTCGGGGGCTACTTTTCAAGCTCGCGTGCATGAAAATAGCACTCTAAAATTTGGTTTGCATTGAACTCTATGCAAATTTACGGGGGGCTCTTTTTGGCATTTCCGGGGATATTTTTGGCATTTCAGGGGCTAAATCGCTATGACTTCTTTCTGACAATGGGCGTCTGGGAACTGTTTACAGAAGCAGCATGAATAATTACAACTATCCTAAGTCTGGGAGATTGCCTAAACCAACTATAACAACAGGCGCCGTTGGGTAACCAATCAACTTAACGCAACTAATCGTTCCAAGGTCAGCTGAACCAACTACCCTCAGCTGTAAATCACGGTTCATTCTACGGCAAAAACGTGAATGACGAAATCGGCTATAATTAACCACTAGAGGGCGACACAGCAGCTGTGTCGCCTAGACAGAGCGAGCGACCTCATCATACCTGCGCAGATCCTGCAGTGGCGCCCTCTGTGTTGTCTCGGTGAAGTCGACCCTCGAAGAGAACACGGCGAGTGCTTCTCGCAGTAGAGTCTGATTTTCCGTCCTCAGAAACCCATTCCTGTAAGTAAGTAAAAACTTTATTTAACGACGGTAAAACTTGTTAGGTACAGACATGATAAATTGGCGCGGACCTATCTTCCACATGGCCGTCTCACAGCAATAGACCAGTTAAATATTAAATAAATACACAATAAGAGTTGAAGTGACCATGAACATGAAGCGTGGGAATGACCTCAGCAGGAGACGGTGCGCAGGGTGCGAAAATAACGCGAGTCCGGAATCAAATACTCGCCGATTTACTGTCAAACTCCCTGATTTGACATAATAATGCAGAGGTCCGTGTGACTCCCTGAAAATTCGGTCACACTAATTAGTTCGTTCCGGAGCACGGCCTCACGAAATTACCGTATTTTTTCAGCAAATGTCCAAAGAAAATTTGGCAGACGTGCAACCGCATGAATCATCAAAATAAGCATATGTGTTATTGTTAATATGTTTAATTTTGAACTTCAGACTGCGGACTCCCTCATTTTGCTGCGGACTCCCTCTTTTTGAGGGTAGGGAGTCCGTTGGACTCCCGTGTTCGAAAGTAAATTTCTACCCCCAGGTGCGCGTCTCCGGACAGACACAGCTGAAATACTACGAGTATGCCTAACAAACAGAAACTGCTAATACTTTTATATAATATGATGCGCACTAGTGCGATAGGATGAACACTAGTGCAATATGATGAGCAATAGTGCAATACAATAAGCACTAGCGCAATAGGATTAGTACTAGTGCAATAGGATGAGCATTAGTGCAATACAATAAGCACTAGTGCAATAGGATTAGTACTAGTGCAATAGGATGAGCATTAGTGCAATACAATAAGCACTAGTGCAATAGGATGAGCATTAGTGCAATACAATGAGTACTAGTGCAATAGGATTAGTACTAGTGCAATATGATTAGCAATATAGTGCAATACAATGAGCACTAGTGCAATAGGATGAGCATTAGTGCAATACAATGAGCACTAGTGCAATAGGATGAGCATTAGTGCTATACAATGAGCACTAGTGCAATAGGTTTAGTACTAGTGCAATATGATGAGCAATAGTGCAATACAATGAACACTAGTGCAATAGGAGGAACAGTAGTGCAACGGGAGGAACAAACTTAAGACGATGATTGACGGGAGCACTGACCAGTTTATGACAGCTGTGAAGGCATGCATGATGCTATTGAGAATTTCCAGCATTGTCTTCGACTCCGTTGTGTCCATGCCCGGTCCATCCACAATTCCATCATTCCTCGCTATTATATCCTGAAACAACAGATCTGTTTAGCCATCTACATCACTTAATCCTTCACAAAATCTCTCTCTCTCTTTCTCTCTCTCTATATATATACATATATATAGAGAGAGAGATCAGTGTTTCACCTGCATTGACACGAGCGAGGCGGGCTGCCTCGCTCAAATTCTCGGCCGCCACACAGAAATTTGTCCAAAACTCGCTTTGCTAGCACCTCGAAACGCGCAAACACACCAAAAAAAATTCCCGCCTCACAGACCTTTTCAGCCAGAGTAAACACTATATATCCGTGTATATATGTAGTTAGATAGCGGCACACAAAAATTCAAATGGTGACAGCCAGCTGGGATATAGCGCCGTGTTGAATACGCATTGAATCGCAATTATCATAAAAGCAGACGCCCCGTCCCCACCTGGAAGTGTGCGCTGATGAATTCCACATGGGAGCAGAGAGCAGGCAGCAAGCCCACGGTCGCCGTGGCAACGTCCGACGCTGAAAGCTGATCCAGATGTCCGAAGCCAAACTTTTTCGCTGTCTATGATCAGAGAACAATAATGAAGGAGGACTCAACAGTACGTAGACAATTAATTAAAAGGATACTTTCCACTAGAATTTGAAGAGTATATTAATGATAATAGATTCATAAATAATAGCAATTATTCACCTAAGATTTCTATAAATTACGCATTCACGTTTGTCATAAAACAACATTGAATTTCGAAATCTTTATTTTTGGGTGCTGACATGACACCTGCAATTGTGCTGCCACCCTGAAAAAGTTGCGCATTTGCCAATTTATTTTGCACGTTACAGACCGAGGGCTAATCACAAATATGTAATTATATTTATACCTAAATGCTATTTAAACGTACGATATTCATTTTATGACACATTTATCCATATTATAACTGAAACGTACTATATGTCATTTATAAAATATAGCAATCCTTTTGCTCTTAAATTAATAAATAAGAAACACACTCGGTCTGTAGCCCTTGGCTGAAAAGTCTATTTGCAAAGTTTTCAGACCACATTCCGTTTTAGTCCGAAAGGTTTTACTCCGGCAGAAAAAAACCAAAATGCCGTTCGAATCAAGCATCAGTATTGAATCATCTCAGCTTAGCGACGCAGGGATGTGACCATAGAAATAATATAGACAGATTATATTATAGATATTAGGTTATCTATATTATTTCTACGGATGTGACATACCTTGAGGAAGACTCTATGCTGGGAGCTGGATGACAGAAGAACATGGTCAAGCTTCTGAACCAGGTCTTTGACAAGGAAGTTAAGCTCTGCTGGCCTCCGCCAAGCGAATTTTCTCGCATGCGCTCTCCTGTCCTTGACATAAAAAAATCAACAGCTTTATCCTAAAAGCCACCGACACAGGCCTCGACACTTATTTTCAGGATCTGGTTGTCCTGTCGGGTAACAAGAAGCAATTTTTACTTGTCCGAATTTTGATCTTACTTAATTGTCTAAAATTTACTTGCAATCTATGGTTATGGTTTTTTTTTTGGTTCTGCGCACCACATTTTTGGTTCAGTGCATATAATATATTACAGTATATACATGTAAAATCGTAAAGAGATTCACACCACGATTAATTTCATTTCCACGATCGACACCCTATGCTGGACATGCATATAGAGTCTACATCTATATAAGCTTACAGGTGAAGCTACAGACATGTCTGCACCCAGTAAAAATTCAGAACTACAGTGCGCGAAATTATTTTGCCGCTGGCCGCCGGTTCAACCACCCATATAATCAGTCCACTTGACCTATTCAAAATTTTGCCTATCATGCCTCTATATCAACAATATTTACCAATTTTCTGACTAGTTTTTTACTTAGTGACTTCTAAGAAGTAAATCATGTTCCAGCAATTTCTGCCAAACAAGTAGCTAGAACTCCACTGATAGCAATTAAATACTGAAATACTATGAGTATGCCTAATAAACACAACACTAACACTTTTATTAATAATCATGGAATAAATTGAACAAAATTAAGGGCCTGTTCAAACTTAATTGTAAGGGCCTGTTCAATTTGTCTAAGAGCCCGCGTTTAAAATTTTGGGTGGGCCTGTTTACATTTTGGCTAATTTCATGCCATGGAACTATGTTACTTGATTCATGTTACTGTTCATTCAACATGTTAGCTATCTCACGAATCCATTGTGGGTATGCCTATAATGAGACACATAAACATCTAATTAACTAAATAAAATTCATGACTACATCACACTCACACGCTACACTCAGGACAGTATTTGGTACATTATACAGTTAGACCTCGATTATCCGAACGAGATGGGTGGGGAGTATATTTTGTTCGGATAACTGATTGATCGGATAACGGGTGGTCTAGTGGCTTATTAAATATTCACGGGACCTTGAGATCTTGTTCGGATAATCCGAAATTCGGATAACTGATGTTCGGATAACCGAGGTTTGACTGTACCTACATGTACCCTTGGTACATTTTGCCTACATATATCTTGGTACGTTATACCTATCTTCCTTCCTTCCACCTACCTCATCAGTGCCTTCACCAGCCACAAGTCTATGTTTGAGTAATGTCAACACATCGAGATCCATCTCACGAAGGTACTGCCTGTACTGGTCCATCTCAACGCTGCCTGCTACCTTAGGCTTGTCATCCTGCATGGGGAAGCAGACACTAGCACAGGGCGCGACTTGCAGGGTAGGGAAGGGTGCGAAATTAACGCGAGTCCGGAGTCAAATACTTGACATATGCCAAGAGTCGTGTGATCCATGAAAATTTGTGGTGGTGTGTGTGTGGGAGCACGACCTCGTGGAATTTACTCGTGTTTTTTCGAGCAAATGTTCAAAGAAAATTTGGAACGTGAAAGACGACAATTTTCCGCGACAGTGAGTTAATTTCAATCGCGTGGTGAGTGGAATTATGAAATATTCTAGTACAAATTTATTCGCGTGTTGTTATGTTTCACGCCGGTTTCGGCAGACGGTTCAGCGAAATATCGCAAAAATAAACTTGCCGCAAGAGATACAGCGTATACCAGGAAAAATAATAAAAAAATTTTTTTTCGCGGGGCTTACTTTTCAAGTGCGCCGTCGGGTTGCATGAAAATTCCTCTAAAAATTTGAGTTTGATTTGAACTTCTTATGTAAATTTACGCGTGTGGTTGATTTTCCGGGGCTTTTTTGGCATTTCGGGGGCTAAATCGCCCCGATGCCCCGTATTATGTATTTTTATTCACTGGCTTATACCAGTGACCACGCACCTGCTTGTCAGGCGCGCTGGGGTTGCTGTCATCGGGACTCGAGTCCACGACAACCTGCGTGTCATCAGCCTTGGTCTGCTTGCTACCCGATGCCTGAACATCCTTCTCAACCTTGCTCTTCCGCACTTGTCAACAAAACTACGAGTGAAACCGGTAACACATAGCAAACAATGGTAGCGCGGCTGTGGGTGCGCGTCAATTTACACTGGCCTAGTGGTCGTGTGTGGTTGTGTTGTGTGTGGGTGTAATAGCATTATTCATTGATTAAGTTTATTATGGTGATGTTTATCTATGTGATCTATTATGTATTATTATTTCGCCTCCTGGAGATTCTATTAAAGAACGGTACAACCGTAATATCTAGGGGCGGTCTTATTAGGTTGTTGATCGGATGGTACATCGATTCTGGATGCAGAGTGCGTGGGATTACGTCGTGGCAGGCTTTCTGGACTGACTGGCGCGGCGGCGGTCGTGAATTATCACATATATACATTCTAGCGGCGGCTATACGCGTTCCTTTTGCCAGGTTTTCGTCCTTCTTCCGCTGCTGCGAGAGATTTGCCGACAGGTGGCGCCATCATAGCCTTATCGTCGCAGTCGTGGTGGGCTTGCGGTGGGACAAACTGTGTGACACCTGTGATGAAATTAAGTATTCTGGTTGACCTATCAGGACAAACCCAGATACGCAGGCATCATGCTATCACAGGAGTCCCACCTCACCCCACAATTAATTACCTATACCTAGTCACCTACATACTGAACCCACTACCGCACAGCCCGTGAGACATGCAGTGCTACTTACTTTGGAAGAAGTGTCTGCAGCACGCTCTGCAGGGTGAACGAAATCACGTAACCTTCGTATGACCTTCACTCTCAACTCGTCATCTAGCGAGCCTCGATGCAAAGCAGCACTTGCTCGTGTTGACGACCTGCCATCCAGACGAGCAGACGTAAGTAAACGAATGCAAGACTGCTAACTACAGGTTGCGTGGCTCCTTGCGGAATGCAAATTTTAACCTGTACATTCATCATAACATTATATTTTATAATAATATAATTTATGTTAATAATATAATTATAATGCACGGACACTTATTCGACTAAACTTAATAATCCTTCAACATTGCCGGAGATTAATACTGCAATTTTTACTGCCAGAGTAGATGTGTTAGGAATACACCAGCACCAGTGAAAAACAATTACACGGGGGGCTCGGGACAGATTTTAGCCCGAAATTGCGAAAAGAGCCCCTGGAATTGCCAAAAGAAGCCCCGCGGAAATTTGCATTAGAGTTCAATGCCCAAGACCAAATTTTTAGGAGTGATATTTATGCATTCGCCGAGCTTGAAAAGTAGCGCCCGAAAAATAAATTATATTTTTTTCCCTGCACAGCACCTATAAGCACGCATGGTTAATCATGCAGATACGCTTCCTAAGTTCCTAACCACCACCCACCGACCTCTCGGAAGAAGTTGGCAGCGTAGAAGAGAGCTGTACAGACTAGTTGCTTGTCCTCTGAACTAAGCATTCTGAAGTTGTCAACCTCCAACTCATTGTCCGACGTCAGATAGAGAGGGCACACTGCAATGTACAACAATCGCATTTCAACACCGTGATTCAAAGACGAGAACGGCCCCGGACGAAATCTGCGGGAAATATTTCTACTTACAGGTAGAGTAACAGAAATACTGGAACTTTTGGGGGTCTGTGGGTCCTCCCCCCGCCCAAATTTTTGTAATTAGATGCTTGGAGATGCGTTCTGAGGCACAGAAATTTCGAAAACTAGCTTGTTCATGAACGCCGCCATAGCAATGAGCGCAGTGCGCGAATAAATAGTACATTTGTCGGCTGCGGGATGGCGAGCTCAAAAGGTAAAAGAGCATCACTAGCCGTGGGACATTTTTCCACTGTCCGCAGGTGGTATACAGGTGCTCGCCCAGCTAGGGGGGGTTCAGGGGAAAATTTTGAAAAAATGGTGCAATTTGGTGCATGCTAAGCTATTCTGAACACATTGTATGAGATCTTCGTCAGTGAGGCAGTGTTTTCGACAAATTTCTGTGTGGTGGCTGAGAATTTGAGCGAGGCGGGCCGCCTCGCTCGTGTCAATGCAGGGGAAAGACTGTGTATTGAGGAGAGACCTGCCTGCACACACCTAGAAGGGCGTCAATCATGTCTAGGTTGCCACTGACAGACTTCTCACAGATTTGCAGCAGCCGGAACTGTGGGCACAGACACAGGAGCGACTGCCTGAAACACAATAGTTATGTTAGTCTCTCATCATCACCCCATCAATCCCACCTTAGTAATCAATCACAAATTTAATGTTAGGAAAGCTCAACAGGAAAACACTGCTGTTCCCGATCCGTGAACGCTTGCCGTACAATGGGAAAATCTATAACAAACACCGCCGACGTTTAAATGCACGTTTTTTTAAATATATTTCCTAGTTAAATTATTCACAAATATCTATCTAGCACAAATAAACATATTACTTAAACTAAGAACAACTTTGACAGCAAGAGTAAGCATTATTATAGTACACTCGATCAACTGAACTATCACCGCCGTCGCCGATATAAAACAGAGTTGCATACAGGCGACAGGGCGGGGCTAGCTTAGGCCATAATAAAAATATTGTTTGTTTGCCCTCACCCGACCGACCCGCCAAAAAGGGGCCGACTCCAAAATTTTTTATTGATCTTCTTTTTTCTTTAACAAATTGTATCACCGTACATTATATAAATCTGTAGGCAATACATTACATGTATCAAGTAAAACAAACATAATAAGAACATAATATAACAACATAAAAGGTATCTCCACACAAGCACACCCGAGCATGTAGACACCATGCTGAATTTATAAAACAAGAGCCGCAGAGCGTCTGGGCTCATCTGAGGTCTGTTGCTACGATTATAAACGTAAAATTTCAGTCGTGCGTAGTACCACATTTGTTAGGCGCAGATATGCAGACACGCAGTTGCGTACACATCATGGTTAGGACCCCCCCACTACCGCAGATGGAGGGTAGGGGGAGGGGGTG